GCCACTGAGGTAATTAGGTTACACCTACTGCCCAATAATCAATTTCATCCAAACAGGAAGTGAAAACACTCCCATTACAATAGCCATTTTAAAATTACAGAAAATACAGAGTTAGAGAACCCTCAACCTTTGATTAGGGAAATAGGTGAGTTGCAATCCACCAAGATGTATTTCTCCAGAGAATCCTTTCTCTGTAATTACAATGATCCCTTCTCCAAAGACAGCCATATCGGTGGGTTGCAGCTCTTGGAAACTTATACATTTCCCTGCAGAAAAAAATGAGAAAAACCTGCTACAGGTTGTGAAAAACAAAATACAAAGAAAATACCTTAACTAATAAAAATATCAACAAATATATATTTATGTATGTGCTTGTGGATATGAACACATAAAATGCCTCCCCAAATGCCACAGCTGGCAAAATAAATAGACATCCTAAAATAAACAAACTCTATGGGGTGGAAACATTTGGTGCACCTAGCCTGGAAACAGATTTTGTAACACTAAAGTCAAATCTGAATCAGCTCTGGAGACCCAGATTAAGCAGTATTTCTTAGTAAATATGAGATGGGAACACCATGTGGCTGATTCACAAATCCTCCAGATGGACACAGTTTAGAGGCTAGGTGTCAGAGTTGAACTGTTTCTCACAGAATGCTCCTTGACATAACACTGTAGTTCCAGGTCTGCCATGCTGTGGCAGTGGAGATAAATCACACAACAATTTAGAATTGTTCTCTTGGAGACAGCATAGCTTTTTGAATTGCTGTAAAAAGAAAAAAAGTTGTTTCTCAATGCCTCCTGAAGAGACAGCGAAGTGCCAATTCTTTTAAAGTTGTTGTTAAAAAGCCATTACTTGATAAGGGCAATTTCTATAACTATTGTCCCATCTTGAATTTCTAATATCTGTGGAAAATTATCAAGAATGTTGTGAAAAAAATAATTTAATACTGCTCCCTTCAGCACTATCGACCAGGAAGTGCAGACAACACATTTGCAGACCCTAGCAGGAACTGACAGGTTTGCACTTGAGTGGTTTTGCTCTGTCTTTCTATAAACTATGTTGATGATACTCAACCCAGACAAGACTAAAGTGAATTTTACAAGATGAGAGAATTAAACAGAGGAATCGGTGGAAATTATACCAGCTTTCCAGATTGCAAGGAAGAGTCCATGGCTTGTTTCTCATATTCAGAACCTACGGATTTTGCTGGGTTCCTGGCAGCTGCAGGAGTCACAGATATCAACAATTGTCAAGTGTGCTTATGTACATTTGGGAAGGAGGTTATGTCTTTTTCTTTTGGATGCAGTTTCACCACATTATCTATGCCCTTGTCACTTCAAAGTTAGATTATTGCAATGGGGCTATCCTTTCATTTTTGCAATGGGGCTATCCTTCCAATTATTTGGAAACTGCAACTAGCATAGAAATGGGCAGCCTACCTGTTTAATGTCTGCTCAAGCAAAGACCACATTATGCTGTATCCTGAGATCTGTACTGGTTACTGACTGTTTCCCAAGTGAAGTTTAAGGCATTAGTTTTCATTTTTAGAGCCTCAAATAGTTTGGGGTCAGTTGTTTGCAAGACTATGTATCAGCATGATAGTTGAGGTCATCTGAGGCACTACTCCTCATAAATGGAGAGGGCTGACAGCAACTCATTCTAGATGTCCCAGAGCCTGGATTTGATACCTCACAGGGGAGTTGTGAGGATAAAGACATTGAAGATCGTGAGGTGCTCATATACTATGGTGATGAAGGCCATATAAGTACAACAGACAGAAGGATCGACCAACCTACTTTCAGGACATGCTGCAAGATCCACCTGTTTTTCCATGTGATTCTGGGAGAGAGGGGGAGATGGGAAGGGACATGACTGCAGGATAGCTAGGAGGCTGATCGAAGAACTACAGGAGACTAGGCTGGGGACAAGAATACACACTATTTTGGGATGGGGACCTGGGTTTTTCCTGTGTAGTTAGCATGTGTGTTGTTGCTGTTTTACTTGTTAAGATGTAGGGGCCCTGTTTGTGTCCTGTTTTGTAGTTATACCAAAATTGGGTGCTATAGTAAAAAATAAAAAATGTGGTGTGAGTAGAGTTTAGAGAGGTGCAGAAGAAATATAGAGAAGAAAGAGCCTACTCCTCAAACACAACACAATGACCACAAACCTCAGCACCTGCAGAACAAAAGGCCAGACTCACTTGACATAGCTTTCTTACAATAAATCAATAACATTTTAGCTAACCTTTGTGAAAGGACGGAAAGAAGGACAGAAAAATTCTATAGTAAAACCTGCCTTAGAGACCACCTCTGAAGAGAGACCACCTGTCACAAGCGACTACGTGCAGAGGCCATGGAACACCACCGCTCTCTAGTGTGCAAACCTTTGAAGAGAGACCACCTCTTACAAGCAACCACTTTTGCTAACTCCCATGAGCGGTTGCTCTTGGCAGGTTTTACTGTATATAAAAGACACTAGTAAAGCACTCATATACCACATTGATAAGTACGGGATAGGTTAGATCAGTGGTTTTCAACTTTTTCATTTGCGACCCCTAAAAAATTATTGAGGTGTGGACCTTGTTGGAAATCTTAGACATAGACTGAGGACCCCTAGAGTCGGCAGACCATAGGATGAAAACCACTGGGTTAGATGGATAGAAAAAATACCTTGTTAGAAAACAGTCAATTTATATACATTGCATCATTTTCTATAGGAAATCTATTTATATGACACTCACTGGAATAACTGTATTTGAATGTTCCATTTTTTTTTTTTTTTACATTCCATATTAAAAAAAGTCAGCATTACTATCAATAGTACATCTTATTTTTGATACCTGACTTTTTATGTTCTTAGTTCTGTGAGAATTTTCAAATCTGTTTTAAAATATTACATTTCAGATGACACTGTAAACCAGAAGAATATTAATATTAATATTAAAATATTTTACAAAACATACCACTTCTTCATCTGAAAGCTCTCGTCCTTGGATGCTGCTATTTTCTCTCACTGCTTGTTGGTGTTTTTTCCCCTTAATGTGGCTAAAAAGATACACCTCTGAGGAAATCTGGAATGAGAATAAATGATGATTAGGGCCCTACCAAATTCACAGTCCATTTTCGTAAATTTCAGGGTCATAGCATTTTAAAAATCTGGAATTTCACGGTTTTAGATATTTAAATTTTAAATGTTATGGTATTGTAACAAAAAATGAACATGTATTTAAAAAATGGCAAAATATAAACATGTGAAAGCCCTTAAGACAGAAGTTCTCAAACTGTGGTCCGCGAGCGCCATTCAGGTGGTCCGCGGATAGTTCTCTCTAAGGTGCGCACCTGGGCGGCTGCATACGAGAGAATGAAGGGCCACCCACCTAATTAGTGGAGTCGTGCAAGGGGTAGGTGGGAGGGGGGCAGTGGGGTCAGAAGAGAGGGTGGGAGGAATTTGGGACGTATAGGGCTGCGGTGGCCAGAGCAAGAGGCGACTTTCCCCAGCTCCAGGTCTGCAGCTGCTGGGAAGAGACGGCCCTCCTTCCCAGCCGCAGCTCTGTGGCAGCTGTGGTGGGGGAAATACCCCTCTCCTTCCCAGCCCCAGCTTGGGGGCTGTTGCAGCGGGGGAGAGAGGGCACATCCATTGCATTAGAAATATAATACTACTGATATTAAAATATGAGTTGCGTGCCTTTATTTGTAGAACAAAAGAACGTTAATTATTAAGGTTTTATTTATATAGTGCTTTTTATCCAAAGCGCTTTACAGTAGTTAGCTAACAGTACAAACAACATTTGGAAAGATCATTAAGTGGTCTGCCAAGACCTTCAGCAATTTTCAAGTGGTCCGTGAAAAAAAAAGTTTGAGAGCCACTGCCTTAAGACTCAGTGTTTCTCAGAGTGGGGGTCCTGACCCAAAAGGGAGTTGCAAAGCTATTGTAGGTGGGGGTCACAGTATTGCCACCCTTACTTCTGCACTGCCTTCTAGTGGAGACTGACATAGTGGAGGATCCCAAGTTGTTTATTCTTGCTCTAAACAAGTTTATTCCAAAAAATGGTGTAAATGCCTGTACACCATTTGAAATAATTCTGTGTTTGGACATGAGGTATGATACAAATGTTCTAGGGACAGCACAAAAGGGTGACAACACCAACTTTGTCTGGTGCAGATGAGGCCTAGAAATACAGATTGGAATTCAGCTAATAAGTTAAGAGCAATGCTCATGTTTATGCCACATATGAATCACAGCTATTGCTCTCTACTAAGCAGTAGCAAGATCCAAGGTACTGGGAGTAAGAACTGCATGTCTCTCTCTGATACGTAAGCCAAACCAGAGCATCCAGCCACTGAACTATTTCTGTGCTTACAGTGTTGTTTGTAGCCAGCACTGTAGTCGGTCCCAGGATATTAGAGAGACAAGGTGAGTGAAGTAATTAATATCTTTTATCGGACCAATTTCTTTTGGTGAAAGAGACATGCTTTTGAGCTACACAGAGCTGTTGACCTGAAGAAGAGCTCTGTGTAGGTTGAAAGCGTGTCTTTTTCACCAACAGAAGTTGGTCCAATAAAATATATTACCTCACCCACCTTGCCTCTGGGTCACAGTCCACAGAAACCTATGGAAGCCTCCCTGGTAACATACATGCAGAGACTACTCCATAGCCATGTGTACAATCATGAACACCTGTTTACTCTGTCAGAAAGAAGGGTTCTTGTAAATGTCAATACCATACCTCTTCATCTTCAAGCTTGCCAGTGAATGACACAAGCAATCAATATTGGCAAATAATTAAAATATGAAACATCTATGTTTTATTTTATGTTGTACCATATTGACCTATTATAATGGTTTTAACTATAAAACCTGTTTTAATGGTATTTTCTCACTGCGTGAATAAAATAAACCAATTTTAAACAAAAATCTGGAAAAACAAATTCCATCGTATGCAATCAGAAGGAAGACCTATTTGTAGTGTCAGCAGGGTTTGAACTCTGGACCATGAAATCTCCAGCATAGACCTCAGCCCCTTGAACTGTTATCCTCTATTTGGATCTACCAGTAGAGAGAGAATTGATATACACTTTGCCAGCAAGTTGCACAATTATCTGTTAGACAACAGTAAAATGATGGAGATCAAGAATCTTGGTTTCTATTCAGGTTCTGGGAAGGGAGTGTGGTATAGTGGCTAGAATAGTGGTTGTTTAGAGACAGGATAGCGGAGCACATAGATCTGGCACATTCATTCTGACAGGCAGTGTGGCTAAGTGGACAAGACTTAGGTCTACGATATGATAAAAACTGGGTTTTTATTCTCAGCTCTCCCTGAAGTGACCTTGTGAAATCTTTCAGTGCACTTATTTATAAAATGAAGAAATGATGCTTGACTGACTTCTTGGGTAGGTTATGAAGCCCTTGCTCAATGATAAGGAGTCTATAGTAGACAGAAAAATAAACAGCAATCAGTACAGGGGAGACCAGGCCTCCTAGCTCCAGCTCAGTGAACGGCGCCCTAGGCTACATGATTCTCTCTCCCTGTTTCTGGGACACTGCCTGACCTGGTAGTGCAATGGAACAGCAACCTAATGCAACTGCAGTGCCGAAGATCCCACAAAATCTGCTACATCTCAGAGCTCTGATCATTACTTTGTTCACAAAAGCGAGGAAGCAGGGAGAGAATGGTGGGGCAGCACTCCATTTACAATACATTCATGCCTGCAAACCACAGCAAAACTGGTAGATCGAAACCTTAGCTAGGCCCATTACTTTTGATAGCATTGCTTCAATCCAACTTACCAAAACATTGCATAATGAACACTGCTTTTTTCGTTCATATGGTGTAAGTTTAGGTGCATAATCAGTATTAGCATGTCTCCCACTGCTTAATTCAGCTGCCTTTTCTTTCCTCTGTTCAATTTGTTCCATGTGTCTCCGAATGCTTTCATCATGCTAAATAAAACAACAAATGGTAAAGAACATCGAATAAAAATAAACAGAAATGAATAATGTTCAGAAATACCAAGGTTTATTAAGTACTGTCTAGTTCTAGATGATGAAAAGTAAAATTAAAACATGTATAATACCATCCAAAATGCCAAAAAGGATGCACCAGGCTGTATCACCACACACATTTTAAGTGTGTTACTCTTTATTGATATAATTTAAAATATTAACACTATACTGTTATTTATGTAGACTAGTATCACTTCATCATCTTTTGTAAATCTAGTCCGATGGTTTTCTGTTGCATTTAGTTTCTGAGCTCATGCTGTATTTCTTCTGCAGGAAGAACTCTGAGACAGAATTCAATTAGTTCAACTTCCAATACCATACAGACATTACTGGTGTAATCGTGCTTGCTCTGATGAACTGAAAGCAACATGGCATCAATTAAAAAGGTATACATGATTTATTATTAATATTTAAATTGTAATAGGGATTACAGTCTCTAGACCCTTTCAAATGATGCTTTGGTTTATCAACCACAACAAGGATGGCACAAAATCTATATATTACCTAATACTAGAAATTAGCTTATAAACATCAACTGTATGAGAAAGAATGGCATTTCACAATAGGAGCATGTGTAGTGAGAGTGCTTCTTAATTAGTGGGATCAACAGTAGAGAATTACTTAGAGATGGAAGAACAGTCTGTTTTTTAAAATTATACGACTGTATAGATCTACCGCAATGGACCACAGATACTGATGGAGACTACTAGGTACTCCCATCATGCTATTACTACTACTAATATTCTGTAACTTTGATAAAGGTTTTATTTTCTCAGTTCACCAGAACTTCAAAAATAGCACTTAGTACTTTGGAAATCTTTATGCCTCTCAAAATAGGATAGATATATGTTCAAACTTCTTATCATTTGGTCTTTGGTTCTTCATAAGGTAGGAGTTTCACAAGCTGTGTTGTAATACTGCAGCATCCTACCTAACATTCCCAATCCTACAACTGACTCCACATGACTGGATCCCTGTGCTTCTGCAGAGATCCAGTGAAATTGACAGGGCTCTGAGTGGATCCAGTTGCAGGACTGGGACCATATTCTATGCAGTGAAGAGGAAGGAACATGCCATACTTCCATTACTGATACTTGTGAAGACCCATAAAATGGCATCAGTTCCCATGTCCTTTTCTATGTAACACTGGTTTGTAGACTGTTTTCACCAAACTGTACAAATCAGTTTTAATTATTTTTTACCAAGACTTTTATTTTTGCCAGAATTTCATTTTAATAATAAGATTAGAAATTTCTTCAAAAGTACAAAATCATTTAGACCTAACTGTGATCCCACACTTGGTTTACACTAATTAATTCCATTGACTTCTATGGCATAATTTCTGATTTACAGTGTCAGTGAGAGCAAAATCAGACCCATCTGATGTCTAGATAAAAAACCTGAACTATAGTAGCAAAATTCAGGGTATGATATTGCTCTACTGTAATGACTTTGCTAAATAAAATGTACTTAAAGAAAATTATTTTGTGGAAATTCTATTTTAAATAGAAATGTATTTTCAGTTAGAAAGAATATTACTCCCTTTATACCTTCAGCTGAATCTTTTTCTGTAGCTCCTCCATTGCTTCTTGTTGAGCTGCAGTGAGAGCTGCCAGCCTCTCCTCTCGATCTCTACCAAAGGAGAACATGTATTATAGCAAAAGTGGTAAAGGTCTGAAGTATACATTTATAGTTATAATATATATTTGAGATGGGGAAAGAAAACCAGAGACGGCGTTAACTGCTACCCCTTGTGAAGCGACAACAGGGAGTAATACATTGATGACTTTCCCAAAAATGTCTAGTGCAGACAAGGCCAATCACAGAGTCACACAACAGCTGGGGGAAATGCTTGAGAGAGAAAATGATGATGGCTAAAGGTCTGATCACAGCAGCTTTCTGAAGTTCTACAAATTAAGCTTTACTGCTGTTTTTGCTGTTTCGTATATACTCTTGATCAAGCAATAAGAAGTATGTGCATATTGTAAATAAAGGAATTTACAAGATAACTGCTAGCCAGAAGACTGAACTTACTAGCCATATATTGACATGCAAGATGCATGAAAGACCCACAAGCAAGTTCCATGTGCAAAGCCCTGGTGAACCTACCTTCCCCACTGAGAAGAAATAAAAGGTGCTGTCTCTAAAACCTACTAGGTGGCCCCATCTTTAGTCTCAGTCTCTGGCTAGTGAGTGTTGATGCATTTGAAGTCACCTTTGCTTCCATCTGGCTGCAAGAAGGCAATGCTTACTGATGCGAGGGAGAGAAAGGTTTCTTGTACTCTACATCTCCCTTGCTTTTTTTCTTTTTGTCCTGCAGTCCCATGAATATTCCAGTGCTTTTCTCTGGTGCTGATGATTGTAAAAACTATCAGCAACACTGTAAAAGTGACATGATTCTCAACAGTTTCACTGCTCCCTGCAGGGTTCTGAATAGTTAAGTGAAATTGTCCAGTCTTAAGTTCACTCTGCTGCTGCTTCTTCGGAAAGGCAAGAGCAAGAGTACAGGTACTGGAGCTAACAATCACGAAGACAGTGCCTCATCAGTTCATATTTGGAAAATTATCTTTGAAACTGTAAGTATTAGAAACTTTGTTCTTTTAGAACAAAGCTTAAATTCTGCAGAAATTAATTATTAAGGTCACACATTCAGCAGGGCAAATTTCCCACTTGCCAATAGCAAGTGAGAAAATGGAATTTTCAAACCCTAATTATAAATCAGAATACAGTTGGCTGCTGTTACTGTTTGTATAAAGAGAAGCAGCCTGGGTAGGGACCAAAAGAGGTCATGGAAGCACAATGCATGCAGCTTTGGCTATGCTCAGCAATGAAGAAGGCACTTAAATCCATTATGCATCTAATACATTGATACACACAATACAAATCCAATGGAATCAATTCTAGTAACTTCTTATTTCATGTACTTGAACCAAGGACCTAGGCACAACTACAGCTAACTGAGGGATGCTACATAGAATAGAAATAAAACAAAGGTCCAAGGATGTCCAAACTGGGTTGAGGGAAATATGTTGCAAACGAAGAGGTGAGCATTTGGTTTCTGGACTTATCTCCTTTCTTATAGGTTGAACCCAAATGCTTCCGTAAAAATTTCAAAGCTCGCTCTTGTCCTACTGAGAAGCAGAACGAAGTGAAATGCCCTAGAGATGGTGGAGAGAGACAAGGTGGGTGAGGTGATATCTTGTATTGGACCAACTTCTGCTGGTGAGAGAGACAAACTTTCGACCTACACAGAACTCTTCTTCAGGTCTGGGAAAGGTACTCAGAGTGTCACAACTAAATACAAGATAGAACAGATTGTTTGGCATAAGTAGTTAACACCTAGTCTTAGGACTTGTCTACACTTGAAATACTACAGCAGCACAGCTGCAGTAGCACCGCTGTAGCATTTCAAGTGCAGACACTGCCTATGCTGATAGGAGGGGTTCCCAGGCTCATCTTTTGAAAGTGTTGTTCAGGTTTTCTTTGAGGATGAGGACTAAGAGGTCAAATACAGAGTGATTGCTTTGTGAAAAGTGTTAACCCCCAGGTGATATGGTATTTTTGTCTTTTATCATTTTTGTGAGAGTCCAATTGAGAGCATAGTGATTGTATTGTTTTACCCACATAGTTTTTATTGGGACATTTAGTGCACTGGATGAGGTACACCACATGTTGTGATAGGCATGTATAGGACCCACGTATCTTGAAAGATGTTTTGTGGAGGGTGTTGATCATCGTAACAGTGGAGATATGTCTACAGGTTTTGCATCTGTTGTTCTAGTAAGGTCTGGTAACACTCTGAGTTGGTGTGTCCTCGTCTGCATGGTGTTTGCTTCTGATGGAGAAGTTGGAGGTTGTTTGAAGGCCAGAAGAGGAGGTTCAGGAAAGCTTTCTTTCACAATGTGGCCCAATCAAGTGTGGGTTGCAATTGTCTGATGATACCCCATATGGGTTCCAGTGTGGGGTGGTAGATGACATCTAGAGGTGTACAGTTGGAGAGGGAAGCCATACAGGAAACATGGACTGAACAGAGATACTGGATTTATGTCTTATTACAACAATCTATAACCCCCTTAACACCACTACCCCCAAGTTCCCACCCCCTTTCCTACCTATGACAGAAGGGTTGTTAATAGGCCACTTCACCTTGGTTCCTTGAAATGTGTGTTAACTATTTATGCTAAACAATCTGTTCTGTTTAACTATGGCACGGAGTACGTTTCCTAGGCCTGAAGAAGAGTGCTATGTAAGCTCAAATCCTTGTCTCTCTCTCCAAAAGAAGTTGGTCCAATAAAAGATATTACCTCATCCACCTAGTCTTTCTGATATCCTGGGACAAACATGGCTACAACACCCCTGCATACAACATATTCTATGAGAGCATTCAAGGTGAAATGACCTGTTAGCTGCTAGAGCAGCCCTGGATAACTTGAATCTCCTCTGAAGTTCAGTGCTTTGAATGAGTTGTAAGACTCTCAGCAAAACAGTCAGTCATTCCAAAAAGGTCGTGGCAAGCCTTCTTATGTAAACAATTTTGAATTATGGAAGGGGTAATTGATTTTAGTTGGTCTTCCTAGATCGTGACAGCTCAGACTGTTACTTAAAGAAATATCACACTCAAAGCTAACAAGATCTACCCCAATCAGACAATATAGTGATCATGGTAATCTGAAACCAACATCTTCCTGCCGCTTTTGGGGCATTTCTGCTTTTGAATGTGCCTGCCATACTCTCTAATGAGAAAAATTAAACAACAGATATTCTGAAATAAAAATAATCTGAACGGCAAAAGCAGAAAGGGAAAAATATTAAAGAAAACTGAAAAGTAAAATATTAAGAAGTACTTTACTGAATAAACTAGTTCTGGTGAAGGCTTGCATAAATCCAAATTTAAAAAATAAAAAAGCACAGAAAATATAGAAATACAGGCAGGGAGAACAAGGCTCACAGTGAATACTAGGCACAATCATTCTTTCAGAAAATGTAAGTGAACTCCTCCAATTGCCATGGGGGGAAAAGGAGATGACGATGAGACAAATTATGTACTTTATGTACTATCTTCCCTGAGGTACATAAGCAACACCTGCACGCACTTTAGTCTTTTAGAAAGTCTTGATTTTGGCTTTAAAGAATTCCTGACTCACACTACACACCCAAAGAACACAACGTCCATAAATGGATTATGCAACAGAACTTATTTTAGAGAACATATTTGTTTTCTTCCTCTATGTGACATCAAAATTAAGACAAAGATAACACTATGGCTTTTGAATCAATATTTTAATGTAGATAAAAATTTTCCTAAGACTCAATGCTCTTACGTACAAAACATAAATATTACTCCTTGCATAGCTTATTGGTCCATATGTAAAACATATTTGTATATCATTATGCTCAGTAATACAGTTGTATGATTACTATTGACAGAAGTGGAATTTTCCATACTATGGAGGTCATCTCTTTGGAATATAAAATGCTCAGAAATTGCATCTAAAGCCTTACTGGGAATCAAGCTAATGTACCATGAGAGCACAGGGTCTCTTAATAGGCATTTTTACATACACTACCCCTTTCATAAGAAGGCTTTAATCACCACCAGATGCACAAAATGAGTGGATTTTGAAGAAAAGTTAGGTAGATATTCCAAAATGACCCATTCCATTCTGTTTTAAGTCTTTTCGTATAAGATTCAAGTATTTCTAGCAGCAAAATAATGAACCAGATCCTTGGGTCCCACTGAGCTATACCAGAATCCAAGAGGGAGGGTGACTTAAAGTCAAACAAACTCCCCTGTACCATGGCATCAGGATTCATGTTTGGACTGATTTATGTTAGAGAAATCTTTGGGCTACTCTAACATGCCCGATGCAGTGCCCCCTAAAGGCCATTCTACCAGTCCAAATCACTGGATTGCAAAATGCTGTGGCCACACCTCTTCCTATCCCTATGCCAAGGAAGGAGAACCAGGAATGGATGGCATACAGTTGGTATGCTGGCTCTATGCCACCAGAGAATTCCTCTAAGTAAAGGTTCCTCTATTTACCAGCAGCTCTTTTAGGGCAGTTTTCTGCCCACTTTCTACCATAGAAATGGGCAAAGGGGACAGAATAGGATTTGACCCACTGTATTTTCTCTAGCTTAAAATACCCCTTTTGAATAGTATGCAGTTAATAAAGCATGGAGCCATACACTGAACTAATGAGGATAAAACAAAATATTAAATAGCTACTCAGCCAGTGTGCATCACCCACCCGATACACTGAATGAGGACAGGCTCCTGTGAAAAAATAGTATGTAATTAAAAGACTGTATCATAATGCACAGTGGCGTCAAATTAAAGTTGTACAGGTAACCTTAAGTCTAGTATTTCCTAACTTTTGAGTGCTTGACTTTGCAACTTTAACACTCTTTTAACAAATTTTTGGATATAATTTCTAACTTTTTAAAAAAATAAACTGATAAAAAAATTCTTGTTGAATTTGGGTGGAATCATAGCTTCACAGCACAGACCTCTGCCACTTGAACGAATGGAGTAATGGCTAGCAGTAGTAGGCTGTCATCCCCTATGTGGACCAGCCACTGGAGCGGGATGAGATGCACACTTCGTCAGCAGGTTTCACAGATATTTGCTGACAGCAGAAGAAAGCTGAGGCTTGGGATCTTGAATTCCATTCCAGGTTCAGTAGGGC